GTTCATAAATCTCCAAGAAAATGTTTTGCTTTTGAAATCTTCAATTCTTTTACTTTCTTCTGTGCTCAGCGTTATTCATCAAACTGAATGATGAGCTAAATTTGCAGTCAGTAGCTGCATTTCCATTGATCATGAAATGCGCAAATTAGAATTTTGAAAAAAAAATTTGCTAAATGGAAACACGCCAATTTCGAAAAAAACTTACGCTTTTCGACAAAATGCTTTTGCGTTAGGATGAGGTGGTTTTTCGACCGTATCGAAATTGGTGTATTTGGCAAAACTGCAATGGAAACACTTGTTTTGCATCACGGGAGCCACGTGATCAAGAACCGGCTGTTTCTACTGGCGAAAAAGACAATGAAGAAGAAGACAACAGGAAGCAGAAGTAGTAGTAAAATCACTGAAGTAGTAAAAAAAGGTTGTAAAGTCACTGACTACAATTTACCAAAAACACAGCATACATAGCCACTCCCAAGTATGAGGGGCTTGTCGTTGGAAAGCTTCAATGAGACGCCGACGTCTCCTCTGATGATGAGCGCTAGTGTCGTAGCAACATGCTATGTGTTTACATCCATTGCCGCCATGTTTGTAAAGACTTATCGTGAGAACAAACATATTCATGCATGACTTTAATAGCATTTCTTATCTAATGGAAACACTGCAATTGCAAAACTCTGTTTTTCGACATTAACAGAATATTGACAAAGTTTTGTGCACATTTGCAATGGAAACGCAGCTAATGATGAACACTAATAACAGTGAAAGTATTTCATCACACACATCTGTAGATGAAGAAAAAAATACGTTTGCAAAATGCTTATAAAACAKTGTAGAGACTTACAGCTTGGCCAACAAACTTATTTTAATAAACTAAGATAATAAGCCGTTGCTAAGAAACTGTTTCCTCTAAGCCAGTTGTGTTTCAAATGCCAGCCGTATAACCATGGCAATGTTGACGACAGCTACATGTGTTTGTTCTTTTTTAAGACTTGCTAGTTCCAGGAGGAAAGTGGACATGGGGTAAAGATAATGTGGAACTGGCTGTTTTTCTACTAACCTGAACTCAGAACCCTGAGGTGAACAGGACACAAGCAGTGCATGAGTGCTGTATGCACTGAGGTTATAAAACTTTTCAGCTCATAGAAAATATGCATGTGATGCTGGTGTCTTACATGGATGCATGTCTTCTTTGAAAGCTAAAGTATAGATTTAGAATTGTTATTTTTTTATTCAATTTTAGTAAAAAGTAAAATCCCAATTTGTGCTTTCATTAAATGTCCTTATCACATCCAAGAATCCAGATCTTTGTCCTTAAAGTTTCGTAACTTACAGAGAGAACTTCAGGATTAGGAGCTTCCTCCGTCAGTCGTGGAGTTGGATTCTCAGGGGGTTTAAATACTGGTTTGGCTTTGATGGGAGGAGGTGGACCTCTGGTTTTGGAGGTATGAGGACTGCTGTTTGGACCGGTACCGCTGCCGTGCAGTTGACCAATCAGGGTCCTCTCATAAATTTCCCTGTTGGAGGAAGGGAGCACTTCTAAACAAACATGTGAGGAACGCATTGCCTGACGAAAGATGTCCTGAGCTCTGCAGACAAAGAGAGAAGACAAAAACACACAAAAAAATGCTCAAAAAATGGCAAAATTTGCATTCCACATTTGGGAATCATTAACAAGTAAGACAGATTCGTAACAACATTTAAAGTGTAGTTACCAATTTCTGACAAGAAAATTAATGAGTCTTTAGGAGATCATATACTCTAACTCAATAGAAAAATGCAGACATGCAGTATAAATCTGATTACAAATGACTAACTTTAGATATATGCAAGTTATTTAGTAATTACATTAAGAAGAAATTGATTTTCAAAAACTGAAAGCCACTAAAAGATACTTTATTTTCTTAGCCGTTACCTCCGTTACTGATAAAGTGTTGATTTACTGGAACAAATGCCACAGAAATGTCTTAAATATAAGTGTTTAGTTTGCATTATTTATATTGTTTCTCCAATGCAAACTAGCAGCAATTATTTATTGTGGCTCATTGTCAAGTCTGTCTTCATTTCCTCTGAGCTCAAGACAAGAGAGAACAGGAAACAAAGAGTCATAACACCTGCACACAGGGCCATTATAATCTATAAAAAAGATCATTTTGCAGAGAATTAGTTTACATCAGATCATGCTAAGTAAATTAGAAGGTCCACTGTGTCAACAGAGATGGGTAATCACCATCATTCACCTCAGTTAACAGATAGGGCAAATCTAGTTTATTAACTTTCATTTGATTTCACTCCTATTGTTTTCCGCCTAGTTGATAATAACATTTATGATAATTAGAACTATGTTGAGAAGGAATCTTTGCATTTTAACATGTTAAAAATGAAACACTGAAGCTTTAAAATTGGACTAATAATTTGGCATGGGCACACTTTGCATCAAGGTTCCTACAGTTTAAGGCAAGTCAAATTTAAGACCTTTTAAGATTTTTTAATACCAAGTGAAATTAAATTTAAGACCACTTTCATAATAAACACAAATGACAAAAAGAATAAAAATAAAAAAACTAGCAGAAACTCATAAAACAAAGTATTTTTAGTTTAAGTATTCAAATATTGCTGATAGACCAATTGTTTTTATCCATATCTAACTATAGCAGAAACATTCTTAGCAGTCAATTTTAAACTTAATTTAATTTCTGGAAATCCTCTAACGACCCAAAATTTGGAGTTTTAGGACCCACCGTGGGGTCTCAACCCCAATTTGCTTTAGATGAAACCTTAAGGNTAGATTTAGAATTGTTATTTTTTTATTCAATTTTAGTAAAAAGTAAAATCCCAATTTGTGCTTTCATTAAATGTCCTTATCACATCCAAGAATCCAGATCTTTGTCCTTAAAGTTTCGTAACTTACAGAGAGAACTTCAGGATTAGGAGCTTCCTCCGTCAGTCGTGGAGTTGGATTCTCAGGGGGTTTAAATACTGGTTTGGCTTTGATGGGAGGAGGTGGACCTCTGGTTTTGGAGGTATGAGGACTGCTGTTTGGACCGGTACCGCTGCCGTGCAGTTGACCAATCAGGGTCCTCTCATAAATTTCCCTGTTGGAGGAAGGGAGCACTTCTAAACAAACATGTGAGGAACGCATTGCCTGACGAAAGATGTCCTGAGCTCTGCAGACAAAGAGAGAAGACAAAAACACACAAAAAAATGCTCAAAAAATGGCAAAATTTGCATTCCACATTTGGGAATCATTAACAAGTAAGACAGATTCGTAACAACATTTAAAGTGTAGTTACCAATTTCTGACAAGAAAATTAATGAGTCTTTAGGAGATCATATACTCTAACTCAATAGAAAAATGCAGACATGCAGTATAAATCTGATTACAAATGACTAACTTTAGATATATGCAAGTTATTTAGTAATTACATTAAGAAGAAATTGATTTTCAAAAACTGAAAGCCACTAAAAGATACTTTATTTTCTTAGCCGTTACCTCCGTTACTGATAAAGTGTTGATTTACTGGAACAAATGCCACAGAAATGTCTTAAATATAAGTGTTTAGTTTGCATTATTTATATTGTTTCTCCAATGCAAACTAGCAGCAATTATTTATTGTGGCTCATTGTCAAGTCTGTCTTCATTTCCTCTGAGCTCAAGACAAGAGAGAACAGGAAACAAAGAGTCATAACACCTGCACACAGGGCCATTATAATCTATAAAAAAGATCATTTTGCAGAGAATTAGTTTACATCAGATCATGCTAAGTAAATTAGAAGGTCCACTGTGTCAACAGAGATGGGTAATCACCATCATTCACCTCAGTTAACAGATAGGGCAAATCTAGTTTATTAACTTTCATTTGATTTCACTCCTATTGTTTTCCGCCTAGTTGATAATAACATTTATGATAATTAGAACTATGTTGAGAAGGAATCTTTGCATTTTAACATGTTAAAAATGAAACACTGAAGCTTTAAAATTGGACTAATAATTTGGCATGGGCACACTTTGCATCAAGGTTCCTACAGTTTAAGGCAAGTCAAATTTAAGACCTTTTAAGATTTTTTAATACCAAGTGAAATTAAATTTAAGACCACTTTCATAATAAACACAAATGACAAAAAGAATAAAAATAAAACTAGCAGAAACTCATAAAACAAAGTATTTTTAGTTTAAGTATTCAAATATTGCTGATAGACCAATTGTTTTTATCCATATCTAACTATAGCAGAAACATTCTTAGCAGTCAATTTTAAACTTAATTTAATTTCTGGAAATCCTCTAACGACCCAAAATTTGGAGTTTTAGGACCCACCGTGGGGTCTCAACCCCAATTTGCTTTAGATGAAACCTTAAGGTGCCTGTGAAACCATTTTTTGTAAGAAAAGTGAATGCATTTTTGGAAAGAYAACATTATTAGCATATTACAAAACAAATTTCACGACGCTCAGATGGACAGTTGTTGAGATATTTGCATGTGAAATAACGGGAAGTGATGTCAAAGGGGAACGCCTGCATGTGAATATTTAAAAAAATACTTTTACCAATTATTTTAATATTTGAAATGAATTACAATCATCCTATGTACAACGTGTTAACATTTTTTAAGACATCTGAAAGATTGATTCAAGACATTTTAAGGCTAATTAAGGCCTTATTTTTAGATTGCTGAATTCAATGACTTTTAAGACTTTTTAAGGATCTGCAGGAACCCTGTGCATTTACAGGAAATAACATGGCAAAGGAAATTAACCTTTTTTTCAGTTTACACAAGAAAATATGGTGTTATTATGAATGATCCAGTGAACACAGCCGGGTATTGTTATGAGTGGATGGGTGGTCATCTCCTTTTCATTTTCCTGAGACAGTATTTACTTTAAAAACCCATTCAAAACAAAGGACAGTCTATAAGTGAGTGTTTCTGTTACACCTTTTGAAACAAAAGCAGTTAATGTGATTTATATTGTATTAATACAATACAATCACATTAAATGAGAGCTGTGTGGTTTAAAATGTATTCAGAGGTCATCATGCACAGATGATATCATTCTTGTCCTTAACTGAACAATGCGTGCAGCAAAATTGTAAAAAAATAAATATACATATTTGAATCAAGCAGGCGTCCTCAAAACAGCTGTGTGCTTTTATGTGTGCACCATGCATTCACATGTATCAGTGGACTTTCCGTGCCCTACTTACACAGATTACCCTGGATCAAGCTACAGTTGCAATAAGCTCGCCAAGACAAAACAATGCTGGCAGAACGCATCGTTTGTTCATCAATAATAAAAGACGGTTTAAATATTGAGCAAAATAACAGTCTGGTTTGGTTTACTGTTATTAAAAGCTGTCCCGATCCTTTGTATATGGATGCACGCATGCTGTTGATGTTGCTAACTAGCACCTTTGAGAGAATGCACACAAGACTGTAGGCCGKTTTTTGAACAACAGCAACAAATCCCCTCCAGTGATAATCCATTTACCTACACCACAGCATAAAACACAATCTCATTACCTACTCAACACTGGACAAGAATTAATGTTTGGACTTTCAGGTCACTGTGATGTGTTGTAATCATTCTACTATTAGCACTTGTAATCTGTTGTTTTGTAGTTGTTGTTTCTGTGCTCTTTAATCACATAAGTAACAAAATACTTCACTTTAATGCACTTCCTTGCAGGTGATTTGGGGGTAAATAAAATACAGATAAGACAAATCTATTCTAAAATAGACAAAACCGGCTTCCCTTTAACAAATGGGATGGACAAATATGGCACACCTGAACATTATTTTCTGCTTTGATGTTTGTTTGAGGTGTTTGACTATTTCTCACATCAAACCTGCCTTTCAACCTCCAAGGGAATACACAAATAAAGAGCAGTACTCACTGACTGAACGTCTTGTCCATGAGGTCAGTGTTGTTGATTTTGATGATGCACTCGTCCTCTTGAAACAAGCCTTCCTTTCTTGAACGGCTCTCYTCCTCAACATCACGGATGTACAAACCAAGAGACCTGACAGAAAGCCAGTTAGAATAACTGGAATAACTGGAATAATAATGATTTTTTTAAAATAAACACAGATGTCTGAAATGACCAATCAAAAGTTACGTTTCTCGTTGTGATTTTTCATAAAACATGCTTATAGCTTGTCCATTAATAACACAGTTACATGCAAACTCTTCGATAATATCATCAGAAACACATGCAAACAATAAAATAGTGTTCATAGTCAAGTAAAAAAGTAAACTTTACAAAAAGAAACATATGTTAAGGCATTCAATTTTGCAAAGCCAATCAAAATGCCTAAAAATAAAAAAAAACAGGTGGAAAATTGATGCAGTGCAGGTAAATCACAGGCTGCAAATAATCAATAGATTTAAATTTAGCAACACATCACTGATTTTTATCATGTTCATTAAAAAAATAAGTAAATACACCCAACATTTTAGCTTTTAAATAATAAAACTAAATCAAAATGTAAAATTCAGTCAAAGTGGTAAAAGAACATGGAAAATAAAGCAAAATAGGAAGCTTATAAAAAGCACAACTGTTGTTCATCAGAGCCATGAGAACAGCCATAAAAATGCATTCTGCTTTCCCTTTAGGAAATATTTCCTCCACTGACGGTGACACACCCAAATATCATTTTGCGTCTAACCTTTCCCTTTTTTATTTTACCCCTTGTGTGTCAGTTTAGTCTGTCTAGCACTAAGTCATTCATTGTTCATAATGTTAGCATGGAGGGAGGCTGACAAAACCAAAATTAGATCTTATTTATTTAATGCTGGCATGACTAAATGTGTTGTTGAAATCCCAACTCACCGTCCACTCAGTGAAGAGCAGTATGGGACCACATGGATTCCCAGTGGACTGTCTGAACCCAGGATCTCCACCACTCTGGTCAGGCTGCACACCATGCAGTTTAAACACAAATACAAAGAAAGAAAGAAAAACCTCACTGGGAGAAAATTTGGTATGCTAAAACATTGTTTCACTAAAAAAAATGATTAGCTTTTGACCCTGCACAGCTGCTTGTGATTGCAAGCAGCTGCGCAAGAATACGAATCAAGGTGACAATCTGGGACACAGTAAGGAACATTATCCAGTTTCCAAGACCCCATGTACAGACAGAATGATCAAGATGTGAGACAGAACTAATTAAAAAATAAAACATCTGAGCAATTTATTCTTAAACACAAGTATGCCTAAATAATAGATTAAGGTGGTGAAGACTCAGGTCAGGTAAGCACTCAGTATAAACACAGCAAAGTATAATAGTTCTGAAAACTTGTGTCTCTTGGGAAAAATAAGTTTTAAAAAGTGTTACACTTAACTGACATATGATGTTCCATGAATGCAAAGACTTTGCCAAAAGTATGCCTTTGTGAAGGTCTTAATCCATGCCTGTGAACATGGGCCTTTGAGAAGGGACTGCCAACGCTCCATTCAAAACTAATAAAAGCCCAGACTACAGTGGATGTTTAAAAAGTCTTTTTGCGCCTTTCTTCTCCTCGCTACTTTGAATCTCTTAAAGTCTCTTGCTAGTTTGGATAATTTGAGTGCGTCTCTGCTTTACATTCTGTGTTTTAATGTGTGTGCGTGCTGAAGTCTTTGTTTGTTTGATTAGTTTATCTATCAGAGCACAGCCATTAATCCTCTCGTGACCTTCTCTCTGCTCCCCGTGTGCTGGAGTGTGTGTATTTCTAAGTGAGTTTGTCTGAACTTTGTTTTGTGTTCTTTCATTAAGTGTCGGTCTCGTTTCGTCTGTCTACTCATTTTGGTTGCCTCAGTCTCTTTTCAACACTGTCCATCCGACCCTAAACTAGGGGTGTAAATCACCAGCTTTATCACGATACGATATTTTATTGATTTGTTTGGATGACGATTTGATATTTCTCGATATAAAGTATGTCATGATACGATTGATTCAATTCAATTTACAAGTCTGCAGCCAATGTAATGGGATATCACATGCCCATCTAACACAATGACTATTAGATACGCATATGATATCAATCCACATCCAGCATATGATGACGATATAGATAGATATTTTCATTAGCCTTGCTATGTTGCTGCAGATTTGTCGGCTGCACATCCATGATGTGAATCTCCCATTCCACCACATAGCAAAGGTGCTCTATTGGATTGAGATCTGGTGACTGTGGAGGCCATTTGAGTTCAGTGAACTCATTGTTGTGTTCAAGAAACCAGTCTGAGATGATTCACACTTTGTGACATGGAGCGTTATCAAGTAGCCACGAGAAGACGACACACTGTGTTCATAAAGGGATGGATATGGTCAGAAGATGGTACACTGAGGTCATAAAGGGATGGACATGGTCAGATGATGGTACACTGTGGTCATAAAGGGATGGACATGGTCAGA